CTTGTTAAAATGCAGGTTCTGAGTCAGTGGGCCTGGGGTGGGACCCGAGACTCTGCATTTCTAACACGCTCCCCGAGGTTGCTGCTGGTCCAGGGACAACAACCTGAGCAGCAAAACTGTCAGCCTTTAACGTGCTGCTGTGAGAGATGAGAGATCGACAATCAATACCTGAAATGAATTTGGGTTTACATGCTTCCCTTCTCTCTGGTGAGGATATTAATCAGCAGAAGCAAGGAGGGAAGCTAAGAGCCATTCCTTAGACGCCCTTCTTCCCCATCTACGTTATAATCCTGGCTGTTGCTCCTGCCGTCAGTGCTTCTTATTTTATCCCTTCAACAACCACACAAGAAAGGCCATAAAGGGATGCAAGGAAGGGCCCCTCATCCAAGCAGCTGCTTCTGGCTCAGTGCCCACGAGTATCACAAGTACAGACAACTGAAACCTGATATTACCTTATATTACCCCTAAATTTAATTTCAGCTAATAATTATGCTTCCTAGCCAACTAAAAGGCGCCCTGGTGGTGCAAAGTAAGCATCAGTTGCTAACCATAAGGTTGGCGGTTTGAACATACCACCATGAATAATTTCTTTTCGAAGGATTAGCACAAAGCTGGTTCCCATGAGGTTAAAGATGTTCCAAATATCCAACTTTTCCAAACTGCTGTACCACTCCATCGTCTCTATCTAACACCAGCTACTACTCCTTCCCTCAGTACTCTCCCTCCAGTCTTTGGATTCCATAATTCGCTGTAACATCTCACAGAACTCATGAATTGTCAAGGAAATGGCTCATGCAGCTGTGGAGGCCAAGTCCCAAATTCATGGGACTGGTATCAGGCTGAAGGCTTCTCCTGACTCATGTGGTTGCAGGGGCTGACGAACCCAAATCAGCAAGTCAGATGACAGGCTGCTGGCTCACAAGACTGCGGTAGCTGGTGAACCAGGTCAGACGATAGGCTGCTGGCTCAAGTTTCCAAAACTGGAGGTCAGATGATGACAGGCTGGATACAGGATCCAGAGCAAGAAACAGAGCTTTGCCAGAGCATTCATATATATATTAGATGCAGACCATACCCTCAAGGAAACTCCCCTTACTCGGGCAAGGTGGTAGAAGAGTGTGACTTGAATAAGTGTAGTAAGGGTGGTGACTGGGATAAGGGTGGTATCTTGAGTCACAGTCTCTAGTAAGGCGGTGACTTAAGATACATCCCACCCTAATCTGCCTCATTAACATAAAGTACAACTCACTCCCAAATGGGACTATAACCACAGGCATAAAGATTTATAACACATTACAAAATGGAGGATAATTAAACCAGATCACAAAATGGAGGACAATTACACTAGACCACAAAGTATAGATGACTACATCATTATATAACTGCCAGATTACATCATTACATGACTGCCAAACCACTGAAAATCACGGCCTGGCCAAGTTGACACATAACCTTAACCATTACAGTTTCCAAATACCTTATTTGCATTAGCAGCAAGCTGTCCAATCCCCTTGGTGGGTCACAAGCACCCTATTTGCACAGTCCTACCCAATCACTGTGTAGGAGTCACAAAGACACAAAGACTATGGCTAGACAGGTTTTGGTATTACAGTACATCGGGCTCCTGTGTCCAGGAGCCCCGGGAAAGTCTTTTACTCACCCCTGGGCCATTTCACTTACACATATGCATATGGCCTTGGGTCCCATGCTGCAGGCTGGACCAGAAGACCATAGTCCCCTCATCAATCCTTATCTTGATAGACTAGCTGAGCCTCTGCTTCAAATGTCCTGAGTGGGACTTCCCATCATTAAATTCCTCCCGACTAGGGTGAATAGAATGGACTTGTTTAGGTCTCTTTAACCTTGGGGTACCAGCAGGAGTTTCTGTTGGTCCACTCAACCTCCTGCAGTCTGCATTAGAAACTTTGTCTCAACTCCATCAATGTCCTCTATATTCATCCCATTTCCTAGTAACCATTTAAAAATCTCTGTCCTCTCCTGTCTGGAGGTGGGATAAGAAGGCAGAAAGGGATAGGAGCTGGTTGAACGGACATAGGAAATCTGGGGTGGAAAGGAGGGGTGTGCTGTCACGTTACAGGGATTGCAACTAGGGTCACATAACATTATGTGTATAAATTTTTGTATGATAAATTAACTTGAGCTGTAAACTTTCACCTAAAGCACAATAAATAAATAAATAATAAAATAAAAATCTCTGTCCTCCTAGGGTAAGTTCTTTCCCCATTGCCTCTTCCCATTCTCCTACAACTCACCCTTATGTTTCTTGCATCTATAAGACTAAGCGGGGAAGTTGTGTCAACAGATACCACATGGCATCTCAGATTGTTGCTGTGTTTCACAGTAGCAAGGTTACATGGGGTGCCCATGTAGAAGTGACTCCCTTGATTACCATATCTGCCATGACCTGTGTAAGGGTCATACTCATTGGATGAATATCCTGATCACCATAAAGCCATTCCAGTATGGCTTGCATAAGCAGCACATCAGCTGGAGTATTCCACTGGGTATTTAGAGGGGGAGAGAGACAGCTTCCCTTTTCAGAGCAAACAAATCTCATTGCAAATATTATCCAGTCCACCAGGCTGGCTGTCCCCTCCGGGTTAACCTGCTGTGTAACTGGATCTTGTATTATCATCCGTGCTGTTCCATAGTGAGTTGTGGGTCTTGCATCAATCCAAACATACTCTTCCATTCTGCAGCATTCAAAACTAAAGACACTGCCCTTAAATTAGTCGCTCTCACAATCTACTGTAGTAAAGGTTCCTCAGGAAACTGATAATACTGATCCACAAACTGAAGCAACTCCTTTACACTATACCCTCTAGTTTCAATAGTTTCTTGGTTTTGCCCATTCCCCTCCTGGACTACCTTCTTGGTGACTAGAGGTCGTAGGGGTACTTTCTGTTTTTCCAACATGATTTATCCTTTCTAGGTCAGCCCTGAGACTAGCAGTTGTACCCCCAACCAGACGGGATGTGGGCTTGGTTCAGTACTACAATCCGCCCCTACATTCTTTTTCCCTGCCCTTGCAGCTATTACTGATAACTACAACCTGTATTTCCTTATGCATCCAACTAGCCAATTCCTCAGGAGGTAGATCCATTACTCCTAATCCCCATGAATAGCTTTTGCCTTGGGTAACTGATTGCAATATAACAGCTGCATCGATCCATGGATGTTTTTTTAATCCCATCCAGAAATCAAAGGCTTCTCATTCTCCCATTTATCCCCTTTTTTCAAAACCACATATTCCACTGAGGCTGGGCCATTGCAGTGAACCCCACCATTCTGACATCAACTAAATGAATAATTACATATTCAGTAAATCACTGCACCATACCACTCAGTGGCTCCACAGGAGAAAGACCTGGTGATGTACTTCTATAAAGATTACATCCTAGAAAACCCTACAGGGCAGTTCTACTCTGTCACATGGGGTTGTTATGAGTTGGAATTGACTGGACGGCACCCAACAGCAACAGCAGTCAACTAAAACTCCCGACAAGGAGTGCCAGCAAGTAGCTAACTGGAACTCTCAAATGCCACTGAAGCAAAACAAGTGGCCTTTGGGTTTAGCAATGGCAAGGCAAGGAAGATTTCAGTGGCATTGTCAGAGTGGTGAGGGGAGGGGAAGAAGTGGTGACAGTAAACAGAGACAACTCCTTCCAACACCTGAATTAAGAACGCACAGGCAAAATTCTGCAATAATTCACATAAAAATTGAATAGAGTTTTTTGGGATTGCAGGTGATCTTTACTTTTTTTCTTTATGCTTTTCTCTGTATGTTTTGCAGTAAGTACATATAGTCTGTACCCATGCATGCACAAGTTGCTATGGAGCTAATCCAACTCACAGTAACCCCTGTGTGTCAGAGTAGAACTGTTTTCCAATGGCTAATTTTTCAAAAGTAGATCACCAGGTCTTTCTTCAAAGGTGCCTCCGGGTGGACCTGAACGTCTAACCTTTCGGTTAGCAGCTGAGTGCGTTAATCATTTGCACCATCCAAGGACTCTGAAGTATGTATTTGTTGTTGTTTGTGCCATCGAGTTGATTTCAACATTCATATATACAGTCCAGTTAATAAACGAAAAGACTGTTGAAGATAATAAAGTTGGTGGTTTTTCTCTCTCCCCCCTTGATGCCTAGTGGAGGTATCATTGAGAGATGAAAAAGTTCCATAAGAGAACTAAGGTAGACAAACAGACAGACTTGGTGTCAGTGCTGACAGGATGGGTGTGCAGTACCCTGGTACACCCACGGTGACATTTCTCTGCTGGCAGAGGCCCGAGAGCAGGGGAGCTTTGTGATCATCCATCCCAGGGGTTCTCAACACTGGCTGCACTTCAGAATCACTAGGGAAGTCTTGAAATTTTTTGGATGTTGTACTGCCCCCTACAGTTTGACTTAATGAGTTTGGAGTGGAGCCCAGGCATTGGTATTTTTCAGGACTTCGAACTGGTTCATTCAGGTTAGGTCCCCTGCTGAGAATTTGCATTTCCACCCCAGATATACTGAATCAGAATCTACATGTAGATTGTTAAAATGTAGATTCTCACAAGAAGGCAAGAGGAGACAGGAAAGCTGGTAATAAGGAACCCAAGGTCGAAAAGGGGAGAGTGTTGACATGTTGTAGGGTTGGCAACCAATGTTGTATAACGATAGGCGTATTAATTGCTTAATGAGAAACTAATTTGCTCTGTAAACCTTCATCTAAAGTACAATAAAAAAAATTCAGATGCTGATTCAATATATCTAGCGTGGAAATACAAATTCTCACAGGGGGTCAAACCGGAAGGAACAAGTTCGAAGCCCTAGTATTTTTAAAATATTCCCCAAAGACTTTGGATGCAGCCAGAGTGGGGCTGACTGGTGGAAGTGAAAGATTTGGGCCCCGGGGACACCTGGTCAGGGCCAGAGCCAAAGCAGAGGGCAGTCCTCTGTCTGCTGTCCGTCCGTCCGTCAGTCCGTATCACCCTTACCCTCCAGAGAAGACCTTCTCCACATAGCTGCACATGAACTCTCTGAGCTCCAGGCCCTCCTCATCCCTGGCTGATGCAGCACTCTGACTGGAGGAGAAGGAGTCGTTGGAGGAGGAGCGGTGGTACTGGTCCCAGGACGGGTGGGAGGGTGACTCGCCCATGTCATTCTCGCTGTCTGCAGACTCGGTGGTCTCACTCTCTGACCCGCCATCGCCCAGTGAGCTGTCCCCATCCTGCAGCTGTGGAGGCAGGGCCTCCAGGGGAGGAGAGGCTGGTGGTTCGGTCCCAAAATCGATCAGTGACCCCACAGGGACTTCTGGGGCCTCCATGGTACAGGTGGGCTGCTGGCGTAGGGGGTACGAGGTGGGGAGGCTACCAACTTGCTTCCCAGGTGTGTCAGTGGAAGCTGAAGACCAGCTGGGACCCTGCTAAGGACACAGGCTTCTTCCAGGAGCTGCTGGCCTCCAAGGATGAGCCCTCTACAGCAGCGTCACATGGCTCTAACGCATCTGAAATGTAAACGCAAACACATGAGCCTCACCACCACAGAGAGTTGTTCCTCACATAAGAAAAGTTCAGCAGCCAGAACCCAGACCCAACAAATTAATGAAGGAAGTCACAGATTCCCTGTAAAGAGAATACTCTCCAAACTTGCAGAATTTGGAGTTCTATACCGACATCACTATGAGCTGGAATTGACTCGACAGCAATGAGTTTGGTTTGGTTTTGGTATACCGACATCATTTTCCTACTGTCCACTTTACTGTTAAACACCTGGGATGTGGTAGACACTCAGTATATATTTGTTGAGTCAACAAACAAATCAACACAACTATCAGAATTTCTTCAAACTAAGCAAATAGGCTTTAAGGAGATTGTATCTACTGGCCCTCCCATTATAGCCTACCAGACTAAGGCCATCAGCCAGTGAGTAAATAGGCCAATCCTTGGGTTGGAAACAGAAAACCTCCAGAGGCGACTCACCGACACGCTCACCGTCCCCAGAATGAAGGGCTGACAGAAGACTGTGTGTTGTCAGGCACATCAGGAAGAACTGGCTCTGCTAAGCCATGGCCACCTCACCCTGTGGACTCGAGCCCTCACTTCCCAATTCATCCTTCACGTGTTCCATTCCCAGGCTGCCTGATGTCTGTCCCTTCTCAGCACTCTTCTCAAACATCCTGTGGCTTCTAAGCACTGGGTTTGACCTCTGCATCTCAGCTCAGAGAGTTGGAGGTTAAGGATTACTCCAGGTAGAGGGGAAGCTTGCCTCCCTGTCTGTCTGGGACCTCAAGGTTAGACGAGATTGCTAAGGTCCTCTTGACAACCACATTCTCAGATTCTCCACAGGATAGAAAATCATCCCTAAATAGCATACCTAATATTAAAATGCTAGGAAAATATTTGTAGTGAATATGATAGAAAAAGGGTTAATCATATCTATATTATATTAAAAGTTCATAAAATCTAATCACAAAATCTATGTTATAATAGATACACAAACTACTCAAATAGGCGAGGCACACAAGAGGAAATATAATTATTGAATGCTTAGACAATTCTTCAACTCAAACTAATAACCAAACATATAAATATATAAATTAAAATGATAAGGCACCATCATGTACTATTAAAATATCAAAAATTTAAAAATTACAATCTGGATGCTGGTGAGGTTATGGTGAAATTAATATTCTCAAACATTGCTGGCAACAGGGATAAGTAAGACTTTTAGAAAGTAATTTGTTAATTCTTATTTTTATTTCCTCTGATTCAGGAATTCAAATCTTTGACGTTTAGCTGAAGAAAATAAAACACTCAAAAACAGTTACGTAGAGCAAAACGCTCACCACAACGCTATTTATAATCCTTTTGATAAATTGGGGGGAAAATTCCAATATAATAAAATGGCAAATAAATCCCAATAACTTGATGCAATATTGATCAGTGTATGCTGCACTCAGAAAAGTGTTTATAGTTAAGTAAATGCAATACCCCATAGTCGACAAATATTTACTGAATGAATGTCCCCTGTGTGTCATCCACAGTTCTGGGTACCAGGGATACTGAAACAACGAAATTTGATTTTACTGTAATTACAAGTATGTATACCTATGAAAAAGGACTGGAAAAGAATATAAATATGTGTTGCAGTAGTGGGACTGAGGTGGTTGTTGTTCGCTGCCATCAAGTTGGCCCCAGCTCATGGCAACCCCATGCACAACAGAACAAAATGCTACTTGGTCCTGTATCATTCCCATAATTGGTTGCAGATCTGAACTCTGTGCGCCATATGGCTTTCAGTGGATGATTTTTGGAAGTAGATCACCAGGCCTTTCTTCCTAGTCTGTCTTAGTCAGAAAGCTCCACTGAAACCTGTTCAGCACCATAGTAACACGCAAGCCTCCACTGACGGACGGATGGTAGCTATGCATGAACTGAATTGGCTGGGACTGAGATAATATCCCCCTTTTATTTTCATAATTATTATAACAATGTAGTTTGAGCAATCAACAAAAATTCAGAGGGAAAAAGACAAACATATCTTGAAGCATTCCAAGTGGCCAGAGGGGCGATAACCATTTACCCAAGCAGAGCACATAGTACAGGAGGCTCAGAGTCAAGCTGAGTTATCATCGCTATTTCTGTCCCAGCGACACACTCTCTACAATCCCTCCCACTGGGAGACTGTGTGATGGCATGAGTCATCCTTTCCAGGTGTCCAGTATCCTGGGTAGGAGACCTGGTGGTGCAGTGGTAAAGCATATGAACGCTACCCGAAAGGTAGGCAGTTAGAACCCACCAGCCGCTCTGCAGGAGAAAGATGTGGCGGTCTGCTTCTGTAAAGATTACAGCCTTGGAAGTCCTGTGGGGTAGTTCTACTCTGTCCTATAGGGTCACTATCAGTTGGAATCAACTCCATCGCAACTGGTTTTAAAGCCTGGAGCCCTGGTGGCACAATGGTTAAGCACTTGGCTGCTGACTGAAAGGCTGGTGGTTAGAACCTATAGGGTTGCTATGAGTCGGAATCGATGGCAACAGGTTTGGTTGGGTTTCTAGTATTCTGGATGCCACCTTTAGGGGCTCAGGGAGGGGTGACAAAATTCCAGGGAGAGATACAGAAGGAGGAGAGGAAGCAGAGGTGGTGGGGGACCCAGTCCTGGCCCATGGGAGGGTCTGTGGCTGCTGCAGGACATTCAGGGCCTGTGTGGAGCCACATCCTGTGTGTCACCCACCCTCTAGGACCCTCTGCTCTCCTGTCAGGAGGCCACAGCCCAGGGATCTCGTCTCTCTGGGGAGAGAAAGCAGGAGGCAAAGCTTGTCCCTGAACTAAGACATCAGGGTGAAGCAGCCATTTGTGATAAGGGTGTTAGAAGCAACCCCCATCCTCATCCTCCAAGGAAGAAACGTAAGGCCTCCAAGCAGGCAAAGGTGACATTCACTCACAACACATCAAGATCACAAAACTCAGATGGTGACCTGGTCCAGCCAGAGAACCCAGGACTGCTCAGTGCAGCCATGTTGCCACCAAGAAACACAGACCCAAGGCCATCACAGTTTCCGGAGTTTTCTAAAGGCAGCTTAAGTCCAGCTACATGGTGTCTCCCAAGTTTAAACACTGGAACTCATTTAATTTATTCACAGCACCTTATGGGTCAAAGAAAACACGCTGTGTCCCAGTCTGCTTGCTCAAGACCCACTGCAGGGCCACAGTCTGAGAAAACAAGGTCTTAAATCAGGAGGAATCTCTGTAACTACAAAGAAAGCGGATATTAAAATGTGTTTCTACAGACTTGAAGGTGTACAGACCTTCCTGCAACTGCACTTTTGCAATTCATCTCTTAGGTCCTGTGGTGTAAAGTTCTACCAATCAAATTAGGATAAAATTCTAAGTCAACCTATAACTTACAATATCCTTATGAGATTTGATAATCATTATGCAACAAATATTTATTATGCACTTACTATGAATCACCTATAGTACAAGGAGCTAGAAAGACAGAGGGAGTGAGACCTTCTGGAGCATCTGGTCCTGTGTATATGCATGAGTGTGTGTGTGCATGTGTGTGTGTGTGTGTGTGTGTGCACATGCGTGTGTACATGCATACATGTAGGGGGCAAGGAGAGGGGAAGAGACAGTTCATAAAGTAAAAAAATAAACAAGAACCTCACAAACTGCTAAGTGCTACAGAGACAATCTCCAGGTGATGTCCTTGCGCGCTAAGTGAAGGCTTCCTTGGTTTGAGAGGGCAGGGGAGGAAGATATCGGAGCTGAGACAGGAAGGAGAGAGAACTGGTCAGAAGGAGACAGAGGCTGGAGTCTTCTGAGCAGAGGGAAGAGCAGGCACAGAGGCCCCACAGCAACAATGAGTTTGGAAAGTTCAGGAACTGGAAGGGTGATGAAGCTGGCAGGTGGGTGGCCAGACACATGGGGGGCCTTGCTGGCCACGTGGAGAGTCTGAATTTTGTTTTAAGGGGCATAAGAAGCCCTCGTGACACAACAGTTAAGTGCTTGGCTGCTAACCATCTGAAAGGCTGGTGGTTCAAACCTACTCAGCAGCTCTGTGGGAGAAAGACCTGGCGATCTGCCTCCGTAAAGATCACAGCCTAAAAACCCTATGAGGCAGTTGTACTCTGTCACATGGGGGTGCTATGAGTCACCTAACAACAACAGCGGTGTATGGGGAATGGAGGGCCAGCAAAGGATCCCCACAGAGTGGCAGGCCACAGCGGTCGTGTTCTGGTGGGAGGTTTCCTCACCTCCTGCCACAATCTCCTTCCCACCCTACTTCCCCTACAAGCCCTTTCCCACCACCTCACCTCCAGAAGCAGAAGGAACGGGAATGAGATTGCCTTCCGATTTCTGCTTAGCCACATCCCCACAGGGCTTTGCTCATCTGTAATCGAGCTGCAACTCTGATTTTCCCAACAGCCTGAAGAAGCCAGAGTTGTGACTGCCCACAGCAGGTCTGCCTTGTGCAATCAATCTAAGGGTCCATGGGGGAAGATTCAGGAACTTTTGTAATTCTTCTCCTTTCCACCAACCTAAAGCAACTCCCTCTCTGTTAGCATCCCCAAAACTATCAACTGTGCTACCCTCTCAGAGAAAGAAATGAGACTGCATAACCTGGTCAAGGTGCGTACACGTAATGCACACTGGTCGTCCTTCATATGCATCTAGTTCATCGGCTCATTCTGAAGTCAGTAAACCAAGGCCTGGAGAGGCTAAGCAGTGGGCCCACATCCACCTAGCTAGGAGGTGAGAGCACAGAATCCAAACATGAGTCAACCCCAGAAGTTAAAGACCACCATGCTGTCTCCCTGTCCCCCTCCCCCCACCCCACTGCTCCATCTGTGATGCTCCTGAAGGATAAATTTGTGGAACTGCTGGATAAAAGGGTTTGACATTATTAAGGCTCGTGATGTTGCTGTTAGCTGCCATTGAGTTGGCCCATGCACAACAGAACAAAACACTGCCCAGTCCTGCACCATCCAAAAGATCTGTTAT